GGGGGGAGTCAGGCTACAAGAAAGCTGCGATCCCACACAGAGGGCCAGGGAGCCCCGAGGGAGGCCGCCAGTACCTTTTCATTTCCGCTTGTTCCTTTTTCTCCTGGATCATCTTGATCTCACTGTCTTCCCGTTGGGCGTTCCGGTACCTCACCGTATTGGAGTGCTAGAAATCAATGTAGAGGAGGACGTATGGCAACGGGCACCTTTGGTTTTTGAGAAAGCCACAGAAGGATCCTTTGCTAAACGAGAAAGTCCCTGTCTTCATTCTTGTCTAGTGTAATGGCTGCCATCGCCTTAGCAAGAGCATTTAAAACAAACAAACAAAACTGTGGCCAAAGGTATACAACATAGCAAACACCTCCTGAGTTAACGCAGAGGGTGATTCTGACTGACAGCGACCCTATTCACTTGATGTCTCAAAGAACCAAATTAAGAGCAGTGAGTGAAATTTCTCCTGAGGAGCAACTGGTGGGTTGGAACTGCTGACCTTCTGGTCAGCAGCTCAGATTCGTCAATCTTTACACCTCCAGGGCTCTTTGAGACTTTAAGTGTACAAAGATACAACCCCCAATGCACTGCCATTGAGTCAATTCCACCTCATTGTGGCTGTATCTAGGCCTTCTGAGACTATACATGTTGCTAGGGGCAGACAGTCTCATCTTTGCCCCGAGGCACAACTGTGGGGTTTGAACGGCCAACCTTGTAGGTAGCATGTCAGAACGTATCCCAGAATGCCACCAGGGTTCCTTATATTAATAGATATAAACATAAATGTTCAAAGCTGTGCTGTAATCTGGTGCAGAAATAATGCATTGAAGAAAACTGCGTTGGAAATGTGCTGTTTCTCTGAATTTTTGACTAAAACTTTCCTCCGTGCAATTCTACAGGCTCTCACATTTCAAGTGTAAGGCATGTGTTCCTTCTGATCACTGTCTTATGTGGACTATATGGTAGCCAAACAGATAGAATGTACATTGGGTAATAGTGATAGGAGATGTCCTCACTACTAAGTGGGACCAGATCTAAATTTTACTTGAAACATTTTATGGTGGACTTCATCTAAAATAGTAATTTATACAAATTGAAAGCAGATATTGTACACTACGACTCTTAGAAATAAGGCAGTTGATTAAAAACTACAACAGCCCCTAACGTTGCTAACTCTTCCTTGCTAGACTCCTTCCTCAAAGGCCCTTTTTGGCACTGAACTTTCAAGACTCTGCTTACTTAAGCAAGTCATCCAGATTTAATTTAAGAATTATTGAATCAGAGCCTCACCGATGCCCATGAAGGAGCCCTTGTGGCACAGTGGGTTAATCACGGGCTTGCTAACCACAAAGCCAGCAGTTCATATCCACCAAACAGCCCCTCGTGGGAGAAGCATGAGGTTGTCTGCTTTCGTAAAGATGTACAGTTTAGAAATCCGAGTGAATAATATAACTGTTTTCTGAGTCTAAGAAGAGGTGATGTGAGAGAAAGATCCAGGAACTGGGATTTTTGAAGCAGGCATTTCAGTAGGTTTTCACAATCACACCTCCCGAATTCAAAACAGGACTGATAACTTACATCTTGAGTCAAAGTTTCAAGAGATTTCCCCCTGCTGATCCTCTGACTGTTAGACCCGTGTCTTAATGACCTAAAGCAAGCAGAAGCAATTGGTAAACACATCTCCACATCGAACTTTCACTTTTAGGTAATGACCATTATAAAAACCAAACACAATAAGGTTTCTGATCTAGCATGAATAATGCTTCTTCCCTCTTCCACAAGACAAGCTCACCTCTCTGTAATTGCCTTGACTCTATCTAACACAATTCAGTGCCATTTCCTCTGATTTTAAAAGCCAGTACTGGCCATACTGAATTTGATTTGGGGTTTCATTCTTTTTCCAGCAGCAAACACAGAATCGGACTTTCGTCCTCCCTGAGTGCTCCCAGGGCCGGCAGGCCTGAGTTTTGTACAGTGAGTGCGTCCTGTCGAATTCCTTGCCTGGGTTCCTCTGAAGTCTGTCGCCCTGGTGTCTTTACCTGCGCTCTTGGCGGATATGATGCTGCACACTGAGAATTGACCTTTCCTTAGCTGGTTGCCCCTCAAATGATCCGCTCAGCATGCGCTGCCGAGTACAAGCCCTAGGAAAATACCAAAAAACGAGTCCCAGATTAGTCAGTGCAAGGTTTGTACACCGGGTATGAAGAACACAGAACTCATTACTCTGATTGTTGTTAACACACACACACAGAGTAAGCTTCACATAACCTTAAAGGAAGCATTAGGCTCTGTCTAGAATACATTCAAAATGAAACTGTCCCAGCTATGAAGAGGCGCTGCATGAAAACCAAAGAAACAAAAGCAAAATAGCGATCCCCCAACCCTCGCCAAAAGAGAGAGGGAGGCCTGCTATCAGGGTTCTGGAGGCGGTAAGGGCAGGTAGTTAGGATGCTGATATTTTATATATATATTGTGCGGTAACTAATAAAAGTCCTAACAGGGAATTTGTCCACCTAGGCTCCTGGGATGATCTGTATTTCCAAGGACACTTTGCAGAACTTTAGAATCAATAGAAAAGCAATAAGATAGAGGCGGGGAAAGTAGTGGTAATCAAAGCCACAAAAGTTGGAATTAATGCATAACAAAACTTCAATTTAAAGCCAGTGGAATATTGGTAACAAGTTACTACTTTCTTTGTATTCACAAAACCTTGAAGACTTAAAAAAAAAAGTTCCTTTGTAGACAAATTGGAACTTTCACCCATTGCTGGTGGAAATCAGTTTGTTGATTACTCCATATGTTAAACAAAGAATAATTAGCATTCCATTTCCAGTTTCTACCCCAAAGAATTGAACACAGGAGTGCAAACAGATACGTGCATTCAAATAAACCTACAGGGGCATTCACTGCAGCACTAGGCACTGCTGACAATATGTGGACGCAGCTTCAATGTTCCTACACAGATGAATGGATAGATAAGATGCAATGCAATAGTACTCAGGCATCAAGGAGCCCTGGTGGTGTAGTGGTTACGTGATCCGCATGGTCAGCAGTTCAAAACCCTAGCTGCTCTGAGAGCAAAAGACTGGACTTTCTCTCCAGTAATCAGTTCCAGTCCCAGAAACCCACAGCAGGTTGCTATGAACCAACATCCCCTCAAGGGCATTGAGTTTTAGTTTCTAAAGAACAATAGCATTCTGGTGCTATCACATAGATGAACCTTGAAAACGTGCTGAGCAGAAAATAGACAAAAAAGGACAACTGTTATGTGAGCCTGCTCATTAAAAATAACTAGAACAGTCAAATTCATAGAGAATAAAGTTAACTGGGTATTACCAGGGTTGGGGAGGCTAAATGAGGAGTTATTGCTAAAGCGGTATTGAGTTTCTGTTAGCAGTGATGAACAGAAATGGAAATGAATAGCGGTAATGGTTACCAAACAAGATGAATGAGCATAACGAATGTCCTTGAATTGTACATGTAAAAACATCAAAGTGACAAATAACTAAGTTAATCATCATAATATTTTCTCTTGAGACTCTAACTAGATTTGTGTTAGTTCACTAATGAGTTGAGACAAATGGGGTAGCCTAACACCTGTGGTGAATACGTTCAATGAGAAAATCACATTTCTTCTCCAGAAAGCTCTTGCCGAGTGGAAAGGACAAGAATGCCTGTGAGGTTGCAGTGGTAACTAAATAATACAGGGGTTAAAAGACCCTGTTCCAGACCTGGCACTGAAACAAATTCGACATTTATATGTGCATAAGGAAGAGCTTTATATAGAAGAGCAATTGAATATTGAGAAAACATCCCCGCCCAGTCCAGATCAAGTCCATAAGTCCAAAATTAGCCCATATGTCCAATACCAATCTATAAAGTCCTCTTCAGACTCATGAAATACATGTAATGACGCCGAGTGCAGAAAGATCACAGGCTAGTGGGTGGGAAGTCTTGTGGATCCACTGGCATTGTAAGCACCTCAGTGCTGGCAGGGGTCTCCACATGGCTTCTCCAACTCCCAGGGCAGGGGCTCTATCAGCATAGGGCCATGTGTCTTGTCAATAGAGCATCTTTCAGGGAGTGAGCAGAGAGAGTGTGTCTCCCGCCTCCAAGGAGGAATACAGGCGTTCCCAGAATCCTTAGGAGAAGGCTATGTCCACACAGAGGCCTCATTGGGTATCACCTGATTGGCAGGCTAGACTCCACCTCTTCACTCTTAATCATCTCAAATTGACAAATGATTACATAACTACCACAATGACCTAAGGGCTTGCTTTCTTTTTATCTGTAAACTGAAAAATCCTTGGTTGTTTTATTAGCTCAGAAATTTAAGTTTACTGATTTTATGATATCTGAATCTTATGAAACCACATTTGTTTAATGCCTAAAGACGTTTTATGCTTGATAGGCTGCTTTCATGATTACCCTTTCTCAAAAAATGCATTATTGGAATACTTTGAAGGATATTATTATTACCTATTTTAGTGCTAAGGTCTTAGAGCAGCGGTTCTCAATCTGTGGGTCACGCCCCTTTGGGAGTTAAACAACCCTTTCACAGGCATTGCCTTAGACCATCGGAAAACATATTTCCGATGGTTTTTAGGAACTGAGACACTGCTTCTCTATGCATCTCCAGGTGGGTCCACCCACATGCAGTTATGCCCACATTTGAGTACCAGGCGTGAAGCCTGTTAACCATGCTACACCATGCCTCAAGACAAAATTTCATTTATTTGTCATTAGAAATAAATATTTCACAATATATACATATTGTTTTTGTGATTAATTACTATGCTTTAATTATGTTCAATTTGTAACAATGAAAATACATCCTGCCTATCAGATATCTACAAGATGATTCATAACAGTAGCAAAATCACAATTGTGAAGTAGCAACGAACATAATTTTATGGTTGGGGGTCACCACAACATGAGGAACTATATTAAAGGGTCCGTCCGGCATTAGGAAGGTTGAGGACCTGTAGTGCTTAGCATACTTAAAACATCTACTCTTAATGATACTATGGGTCTATTTACATTCTTAAAAATGCATGGACGCTAGTGAAAATCATGCCAATGGCTATCCATGAAAAGCCATACAAATTCAATGAATTTAAGTGCCTTGCTGGGAAGAAGTCACCAGCCATCCCTATTCTTAGTTCAATGAACCATATGGGTAAGTTTAGGATGAAATCAAAGCCCCCAATTTTTATGATCAATGTGGATTATACATCAGTGATATATAGAGGTTGTGCTATTCCCAGGACTGGAATGATATCAATGCTGTTAATAGAGCCAATACTGGTTTTATTAGGAAGACACATTCACCAGTTAGTCTTAGTTGGCAATGGTAGAGAAGGTTCAGATAGGTATATTAATGTTGTACTTTGAACAAAGGACTAGACATTCTGAAGGCGGCCTGAGAAAATCTATTTGTAATAAGTTTGTCATCCGTCATTGATGTCTAGTTCCCTGGCCATTTGTGTCCAACATTGAGACTTAATCTTTGGCCACTGCCTTGATCACTTTTATTTTTTTCACCATAAGATTCTCACCCTAGAGCAGTTGAGACCTATCGGCCACACATTCAAAATTCGGTAAAAGTATATTTGAATCTGGACATTTCAGCTTGAGGGTCACTGCAATGTTGGAAATGGAGGGATATAACTGCCTCTAAGCTGTCTATGGTCAAAGTGCCTGTGAATTCTTGCTAAAAAGAGTTAGGAGTAGGTAGTGACTTCTGGGCATGCTGGGGTCTCCCAGGCACTGAAATCAACAACACACAGCCCCAGGCTCACCTGGATTTCCTGAGAGTCTTGGCAGAGATGGCATCTTAGCATCTCTTTCAAGACTCTTAGCCTTGTTGATTTCAACGCATAGCGACTCTATGGACAGAGTAGAACTGCCCCCTAGGCTTTCCAAGACTGACACATCTTTCTCCTATGGGGGTCTAGTAGATTCAAACCACCAACCTTTCAGCTACAGTCATACACTTGAGCACGACACCACCAGGGCTGCTTGAGAGAAACAAGAGAGGAGTCGATTTCCAGGGTGATCCCCAGGGTAGTGGAACGACTCTCCTCTTCCTAGGCTTCGTCATCTGCTCCATCAGCAGTGTGGCTGGACTGGTGGTGGAAAGTGCTCTTTCCTCATTGGTCATGACTGTTCAATCCCTTCCCACAGGATCTACAGGAGTGGTTCTCAACCTTCCTAACGCATGACCCTTTAATAGAGTTCCTCATGTTGTGGTGACCCCCCAACCATAACATTATTTCTGTGGATACTTCATCACTGTCATTTTGCTACTGTTATGAATTGGGCGACCCCTGTGAAAGGGTCGCGACCCATGGGTTGAGAACTGTTGGTCTAGAGCGTTCTAAACCAACCAACCATACTGATAGCCAGTCAATGCTGACTCATACAGAGCTTCTCACAGGAATACAGGAGACCGGCCCCTGTAGTTTTCCAAGGCTGTAAATCTTAACAGGAGCAGCTGGCCTCCCCATTCTCCCCCTGAGCAGTTGGTGATTTTGAATTGCAGATCTTGTGGTGAGTCGCCCATCACCTGACCCATCACAACACCCACAACCTGACCAGGGCGCCAGAGACTGCAGGAAATCGTATTGAAGTGGGCGGTAGGTTCAGATACATCATGTGAATCTCTGCCCTTGGTATGACTCACTCATTTGCACGGAGAGGAGGGGCGGGTCGCAGTTGTGGGGAGCAGTGATTAGCTCTAACTGTGCAATTAGGACCTGGGCTTAATCAGACTAAGACAACAACCACCCAAATGTGCCCAGTATGTAAAATAACCCTCTTTAATATCCTGTCCCTAATTTTCCCCTCCACATACTTCTATGCTTTTACTACTGTTCGCTTGATTAACTTCAGAGTAGATGATGCTGGAAAAATATATATAAATATACAAGGCTCCACCATTCCGGGATTTCTTATTAACAACCAGTAAAAACCTGTTAGCAAGGGGTGGCAGCGCTGCATCTACCACAGCAGAAACCTTGGTGCTTGGTTTCCTCATTGGAAGAACGCTGCCAGATTCTTTCTGCTCCCTGCTCAGAAGCTTATTGGCCCATCTTCTTCTTCCCTGTGGCACCAGGAACAGCCAAATAAGCTGAGAAGA